TGGATTTCAACTCTATAGGATTTAGTTTGAATTTCTAGTTTGCATAATGGTTTAATGAGCATATACTCATATCAAGATATACATATAAAAGGGGAGCTTGGGCAAAGGTAGAATGTATATAAAACCACTCATTTTAAGAACAGAATAACTTATATCATCTTAGATTATTACATTAATATTTGTGTACCAGATATGATGATATATAAATAGCTAAAATTAAGAAAAGTGTATGTGTTCTTAGAAATTTCTCAAACTGAATTATACTGAAGCTTAAAATAGTAAGCAGTCACTAGTAATATCTTTTATAGATCTAAAACAGAAGAAATCAATATTCCATGTATGAATATCAAGTGATATAATATATACTAGAATATAATACTCAGAAATAAAATAAAAAGAAAAACTTTCAGCTCATAGTTAAAAGAAAAATCACATTAAATTTTTAAAGAAATATTAATAGTTACCTAACTTTCTATGAATAGCACTGTGAAAGATACTGTATATATACTATATACACTTAAATTTTGCAATTATATGAGATGAAAATTTTCACATTTCACATATTAAGAAACAAGTGTTGATGAAAATAATGCAAATAAATTAAACATAAATAAAAATGTAGAAATTTAGGAAAAAAGCCCACTCTCTTGAGTCTAATTTTATTTTACCCTTCATTGAAGTTAGCATAATATTCTTCAATATATTTTATTATTCCAGGAAGGAAAAATAAAGCATTACTTTTAAAAAATGTGTTTCATCTATTTATGAGATAATATACTTATTACTTTCTCTAATATCTTATCAAATCTTGGATTTTAATCCCTCCAGTACTGAAACTTGGATATTTATCCAAGAGTATATACTTGCAGCTGTTGTTGATCCTGGACTATTCACCTGTAGTTCTAACAGCGCATGGGCAGCTGTTCAGTTGAAGGGATTAAAAGTTAGACTATCATTTTGGAGGAAGTTATACACTTTCTACAAAAAGAACAACAATTTTAAATACTTCATAGTTTACAAATGCTAACTTCTAAATCCCAAGGTAGTCCTGATTCCATTATATATTCCTGGACTGCTAAGACGAGCAACATCTTACTTATTTTGATGTTGGAAATAAAGTATATTTTTTGCCTTTACCAATAAAATCTTTACATAGAGTGTTGCATCCCACGGACTCAAAGCAGCTTTACAAAATATAATTCTTTTAACTATGACCTAGTGCCCACAGTACTTGAAAAAATATATAAATTGTGCTAAAGAAGAGAAAGGAAAAAAGCAGAAAAAAAGGTTTGAACTTTGTTTTAGCTTTTGGATAATGTTTCTGGATCTAGTAAAACACATTGTTTAATATAAAATTTTCCTATAACAATTGTTATTTCAAATAAATGTGAAGGAACTTGGATAGCTACCTTACATCCTTCTTAAACATGACTTCTAGGTTATTAATACTTGAATGTGAAAAGTAAAACTATAAATAATGGAGATTAATATAGAAAAATAAATTTCTAATTTTGGAATAGGAGAGGATATCCCAAGTAAGGAACAAAGAACTCACAAATCATATAGAAAAAGGATCATAATTTTATTACATTAAATTAATAACATATGTTTATAAAAGATACCACAAAGTGATAACAAAACTGAAATTAGATGTGATTAGCAAAGAGAATGTACATACACACATATCTATACATATGTATATTGGTGTATGCTTATTATTTGTTAATTAGGAGGACAAAGGGAAAAAATCGAAAAACTGGACAAATACTGGAACAGAAGTTTAAAAAGAGCATAAACAGTCAGTATACATATGAAAAAGTATGAATCATATAATCAATCATATACCATCCAAACCAGATAGAATGGCAAAATATTAAATGTCAGATAATAGCAATTGTTAGTGAAATTATGGAGCAAGATGAGTATCTCATTTATTTCTGGTAGGAGTATTAATTGGTACGACTACGTGGGTAAACAGTTTTGCATTCACAATATGACCCATCAATTTCACTTCTTTATGTGTACTGCAGAAATACACTTGCCAATATACACAAAAACGTTCAGATGAACACCCTTCAGAAGAGCAAATAACTCAAGTATCCCTCAAGATTAGAACATGTAAATATATTTTGTTTACTTCATATAGTGAATAAACATATCTTCATCTCAAGATTAATGTTGAGGAAAATTTTTAATTACTGAAAAATACTAACATTATTTCATTTATAGAATGTTTTTAAAAAGAGAAAACATTGTTTAAGATATATAAATAGTTATTAAAAGTATGAAGAAAAATAAAGTGATAATTAACATATAGTACAGGATATTTATTTTCTCTGGTTGGGAGAATGATGATCATGAAAGGGAGAAATGATTGAGAAGGGCAAATAGAATTCCCAGGAGAAACAGGCAATGTTTATGGGCAGTACTTTGTAACCAAACCAAAGTCTCTACTGAGATGTAGTCATTAGCCAAATTGTCAATGAGATTCTGAATTATAATCGTTTTAGTACTGAGGCTAAAATATACAAATAAATATATTCATCTCTTTAGGTATAAATTTTTTGAAAATCTGCTATAATTTTCTATATGGGATTTCTTTTGAAAACTGCTCTACTACGGATATTTAAATTGATATCTGCCTACAAAAAGCAATCTATTTCCAAGTGTGTCTATGAATTTAAAAATTGAAAGAGGAAGCTATGATGAACTGAACACCTCTGTTCTTTCAAAAAAGGACATTTTTTCAAATTATGAGCACAATTTTAGCCACTGCTCCTCTTGGAAGTATTTCTCTATCTACATGGGTATAAGTGAGGAATGCATCTTCTTAAACAAATGTAAGTATCACTGCTACTGTCATATCAGAAACCTCAGGGTAAATGATTACCCTACCAGAACATGTTAAAAATTATAATTTAGCCAGGCACTTCCAAGTGACAAATGAATGGCTCTTCAAATTTTGATATGCACAATATTCACTAGATAAATAAGCACATTCAAAAGCTATAATCTATTGGGATGGATTTCATAAATATAAGATGATGCTATAAAAATCTGTCTTACAACAAACAAACCATTTCCAAAGCAGCAACACTGGTCCATACACACAAGAGAAACATACGACAGATATATTAGGCACAAGGAGCCAGAGAAAATATCAAAGCTTAGTGCCAGAGCTTCCTCACTAAGTGCATGTCTTTGCTTTTTGGTTTGGCATCATTGTTTTTTTGTTCTTTTGATGTAACTGTGTTGTCTGGTTCTGTAGTACTAATTAGGTCTGCTAAGTATTCATACCCTGATTTTTTGCTATAGCAATCAAATTCCTTTGACATTTTAACAGTTTTGACCTATAACTTTGGCAAGGATATAAGATAATTTAGGTGGGTGACAAGAAGGAGAAATTGAGGGTGGAATTAGTTAAGGTTGGGAGATTTCAGTTTAGCTATTCAAAATGTTTAAAACATTAGGAATTCTATGACTTTGCCTATGTTAGATTCATTATAACTGTTCAGTGATTAAGCACAATGTTTAAGCTGAGCTCTTAGTGTTATGAAATGTGCCTCTGGAGCAACTCGGAATTGCAGATCTGCCAGGCTTTTCTCTCTGTGAGATTCTCAGCTCCCATATATTATAGCATTTGAACAAAGCTTCCATACATAAGCAGATTTAAAAACCATAGTTTGATGAAAAGTACAATCACAAAAGTGTACTTTTTAAAGGTAACATTTGTGCTAGAAGTTAGCCACTTAATGTATACCAAAATCCTGACAAAACAAACTGAAGGTGGTAAGAAACTGACAGAATATATGTCTAATAATTGGCAATGACAATGTTCACATTAAGGTTCTATAGTGACCTTTTTAATGCTCCAACTATGAACTACTTTGTTTTGCTGCCACACGGTTCATGATGAAGTTTTTTTTTCTTCAAAGATGAATACAAACATATTACAGATTTTACTCAAATTCTATATCATTAGAAAATGTTTAAAATATGCCTGAGTTACTCAGGAAAATATTATTTTACAGAGTAATTTATAGCTGAGGTAAAGTTAAAAAAAAAGTAGCCTTGATCACAAAAACAAAGTTCAAGTTTGATGATTTTCTTAATATATCTATGTCATTGACTGTGTAAAACAAATATGTAATATGGAATGTTACTCAATATTATAAGAGAAGCACCAACATGGATAAATTTAGATGTTTTTCGATGTGAAATACAACACACAAATACCAGGCAAATAAGAAAGACAGATACCAATGATCTCATTAATATGTGAAGTCTTAAAAATTCCAATTTATAGATGTAGAGAGTAGAATGGTGGTTACCAGGGTGTGGGTGGACGATGGACAGGGAAAGAGGAAATGTTAGTCAAAGGGTAGAAAGCTTAAATCAGGTTAGAATAAGTAATAGTGAATTAATACACAGCATAGTGACCAGATTTAACAAAAATATATTGTATGTTTCTAATTGTTAAGAGTAAATTGCTAAAAGACTAAATTGTAAATGTTCTCACCACAAAGTAATAATAAGTATGTGAGATAATGAATAGATTAGCCTGATTTAATTACTCACAATAGGAGAATCAGGAAAATAGTTGATCTGTGGTGACCTCCTAGCTCTCTGTTCCCAGAGTAGGAGGTGAAGAATGTAGACAGCTACACACCAGTGGATCACTCTCCCACAAGAACAGCTTGTGAATCTGCAGAGAAGTAGCACAGGACAAGCAGCACTGGAAAAAAAAAAAAAAAAAAGAGGTGAATTGGAGAATCAACCACAAAGTCTGAAGAATGTAATAATATAATAGAGAATAGAGTATGGGACAGCTGTGCTTGTCAGCCAGCCTGGAGGGTATGATCTGACACACAGGAGGACGACTCTTCCTTCACCGACCTCCTTATCCATTCAGGAAGGGAAGTGCCTGAAGTCAGTGCAAAGTTGTGGCTCGGGATGACAGGCTGTGTAGAGAAGAGATAATAGCAGGAAACATTTTAAACTCACCAGTGCTCTGTGCTAGGTCCACACTGGGTCGGGGAGGGACTGGTCTGAGGGTACACTTCCTGTGTCTGCAGGAGGGAATTAGGAGACAGCACCTCACCTCTGGTGGTCTGCAGGACCAGAACAAAAAGGGTGAGCACCAAAAGGGAAGCTCTGCCCCTGGAAATCACAAAAGATTCAGCTGACTCAGGTTGACCCAGAGAGTACAGGACCCTTACTGGACTAATGTGAGACTGTGGGTCAGGTAAGCAGTGGGGATACCCAGCAGCTCATGAGACAGCCTGACAAACCCAGCACCCACTGCCCCCTGAGCAGTCGCCTACAGTGCCGGTGCTCTATGGGTGGGCAGCCACCATTTTGACAGTCCAAAGCCTAGAAACACTGTGTGGCACCACCCCTTCCCCAGCCCAGGAGGGCAAGCCCGGTCAACAGTTTCAGGCAATGCCCCTGTCCCACCCAGCAGAGCAGGACCCACCCTTAGAGAAAAGCTGCTTTCTGAACATTCCTCTCCCAACCCGGCCACTTGCCTTTAACACTAGCAAGACAAACCTCGCCCTTGGAGATACAGAGTAAAGAGAAAAGCCACTTTCTGGGCTGAGACATGCAGCGTCCTCAGGCAGCCTCCTCTCCTGGCCCAGATGTTTTTCACACTGCTGAAGTAAACCCCATCCTTGGAGGTGGGGAATAACCAGAAGTGACTTTCTGGGTTGAGACATACAGTGGCCTCAGACAGCGTCCCACCTCCAGTTCCCCAGCCCAGCTTTCCTTCCAGCAGGGCAACCTCACTCTTGTAGGAGGGGAGAAATGGGAAAAGACGTTATTCTGGACTAGGACATGTGGTGGTCTCAGGCAACACTGCCTGTCCCTCAGCCCCGCAGTGTAGACTCCACCTTTAGAGTCAGGAAGAAGGGGAAAAAGTTGCTTACACTGTGTGACTGGTATGAAATTGTGCAAACTTGAAACTAAGCAAAAGAGGGCAAACTGTTGATTTGGTCCAGAGGACTTCTTTTGATCATCTGACAAGAACATAACACTAGGGCTTGCCCTTAATGCCTGGGCTGCTGCCAGCTTTGGGGTTTGTGGACTGGGAAGGAAAATCCTGGCCAGAGTCCTCAGCAATTACTCCAATTGACACCCCATACCAGGAGATACCTTGCAAGTGTGGCAAAAGAGCCCTGAATATCACATTAGCAGCTCTCCTCCAGCAGCAGATTAAGCAACCACAGAAGTATACACACTCTCAGGCTTATAGGTACCAGTTTCCCTTACCCCACCTAAAGTGGCAACAGGGCTCAAGTAACCCTTGGGAGTGACAAGACATTTCCCAAAAATTGGGGCATGTGTATACATGCATATACATACACATTTGGGAGTTTAGAACCCAAAATAAAGGCTTTGGAATACCTTGATAATTGTTTTTTCCACACAAACTAAAAGCAACAACAGAGAAGATAACCCCATAATTCAACATAGTGCTTTCCATCTCAAATTATTGGAGAACAGTGGAGTCACAAAAACAAGAGTGATTCTCTACCTGGCAAGCTTAAGCAAGGGGTCCAAACTCACTAATCTCCTTTGGCAAGAAGTGAAGACAACAGGCCAGAGATATCTCAACAGGCTTAAACACCTCTATAGCAATATATGACCAGAGCACATCTCCCCAGCACTGTCAAGGTTCATCCCTTTGGGGACTTGGAGATAAGGCCATGAACCGGCCCCAGCACCCCCAGTTCTCAACAAAGTAGCCTGATGAGAAAGAATCAAAGAAAGAACACAGGAAATGTGAAATACCAGAGAGAAAAGTCACCCCCCAATAGAAAACATTTGCTTTCTATCCATAGATACCAACTTACTTGATATGATTAAACTGACAGAGGAAGAAATCTGAATATGGATTATAAGAAAACTCAGTAGAATTGAAGAGAAAATAGAAACCCAACATAAAGCCACAAAAACAATACAGGAAATGAATAAAAAATTCTCTAAGGAAATTAAAATACTACGAGAAAAAAAAAACAAACAGAAATTCTGGAAATGAAAGATGCATTTAGGGAACTACAAAACACAGTAGAAGGCCTCAAGAACAGAATGGATCACACAAAGAAAGAATCTCAGAGCTTGAAGATAATGCCTATGTGCTAAACAAATTGGATGAAGAAAAAGAACACAGAAACAAGAAGCAAGAACAAAACATACAAGAAATGTGGGATTATGTAAAGAATTCAAATAGAAGAATCATAGACATCCCAGAGAGAGAAGAAGAAAATACACAAGGGCTGGAAAAGTTATTTCATGGAACACTAGAGGAAAATATGCTTGGCCTGGCCATAAATCTAGACATCTAGATACAAGAAGCACACAGAACTTCTGGGAGACTCAATCATCACATCACATAATTATTAGGCTGACCAAATTAAACATGAAAGAAGAAATCCTTTGAGCAGTGAGACCAAAACAGCAGATAATCTACAAAGGAAAACCTATCAGACTAACTGCAGACTTCTCAACTGAAATTTTATAAGCCAGAAGGGACTGGGTGCCTATCTGTAATCTTCTAAAACAGAATAATGTCCAATCTAGAATTTTTTACCCAGCAAAACTAAGCTTCATCTATGAGGAAGAAATAAAGACCTTTCCAGACAAGCAATCACTGATAGAATTTGCCAAGACCAGATCTACCCTACAGGAATACTCGGACCCACATTAAACACTGAATAGTGCAATAGACACTCTCCAAAGTAAAATCACTCAAGAATTAAAGTCTAAAATCTGGATTCCACAATAGTTCAAGGAGTAAAACAAAACAATAGGAATTCACCCAATATGAATAGAAATCTACCTAAAATATCAATCTTCTCATTAAATGGGAATGGCTTAAATTGCCCTCTGAAGAGACATTGACTGGCAGAGTGGATAAAAATCTACAAGTCTAATATCTGCTGTTTACAGGAAATGCATCTAACCCACAAAGATGCTTTCAGGCTCAAGGTACAGGAATGGAAAACAATCCTCCAGGGAAGTGGAAGCCAAAAGAAAGTGGGAGAAGCTATACCTATTTCAGATAACGTAAGCTTTAAAATAGCAAAAGTAAGAAAAGACAAAGATGTCCACTATATAATGGTGAAAGGGAAGGTCCAACAAGAAGACTTAACAGTTCTTAATATTTATTTATGCATCCAACTCTGGAGCACTCAGATACATAAAGCCAACCATTGTTTGATCTAAATACCATGACAAATAATAAGCCCATAGTAGCCAGGGATTTCAACACCCCACTGACTAAACTTCACAGATCCTTTAAACAGAACTGGACAGATCTTCCAAACAGAAAATAAGAAAATAATTAATGGACTTAAACAGAGCTCTATGGCAAAAAAGTCTAATAGATATCAGAACATTCCACCCAAATAAAGGTGAATATACATTCTTCTCATCAGCTCATGGAACTTTCTCCAAAATTTATTGTATACCAGACCACAAATCAACAAATACAAATAAATATAAATTATAGCATGTATCTTCTGAGATCACAGTGGTATAAAATTAGAGATCAATTCCAACAGAAATTCTCAACACTTCATAAAGTCATGGAAATTAAACAATCTATTGTTGAATAACTATTAGGTCAGCCATGAAATACTGAGTGAAACTAAAAGATTCTTCAAACTGATAATGGGGACACAAGTTATCAAAATCTTTAGGATACAGCAAAAGAATTCCTGAGAGGAAAATTAATAGCATTAAATGCTCACATCCAAAAAACAGAAAGTTCAAAAATCAACAAACTAATAAATAGTCTCAAGGAACTGGAAAAGGAAGAGAAAATCAATCCCAAACCTAGCAAAATAAAAGAATAACTAAGATCAGAGCATAAATAAATGAAATTGAGAACAAAAGAACTATACAGAACAAAACCAAAAGCTAGTTTTTCTAAAAGATAAACAAAATTCACAGCCTTATTGCTAGATTGATAAGAACTAGAAGGGAAAGGACTCTAATACACTCAATTAGATATGAAAAAGAAGTGATCACAACAAACACCACAGAAATAAAAAAATATTATCTTTCAATACAGTAAAAACCTATATGCCCCCAAATTACACAATGTGGAGGAAACAGACAACTTCCTGGAAACATATAACCTCCCAAAATCTAACCAGGAGGAAATAGAATTCCTTAACAGACAAATATCAAGGACAGAAATTTGAGCAGCAATTAAAAACATTCCAAAAAGGAAAATTCCTGCACCAGATGGAATTAATTCCAAGTTTTATCAAACATACAAAGAAGAATTCATTTCTATACTACAGAAATTATTTCACAACATTGAGAAAGACGGCATCCTCCCCAAATCATTCTATGAAGCCAATATCACCCTGATACCAAAGCCAGGAAAGGATACAACATAAATAGGAAACTATAGAACAATATCCCTCATGAATATAGATGCAAAAATCCTCAACAAAATGTTAGCAAATCGAATCCAACAGCATATCAAAAAAACAACTCACCATGACCAGATGGACTTTATCCCAGAGATGCAAGGCTGATTCAACATATGCACATCTATAAATGCAATATACCACATAAATAAAAGCGAGAACAAAGGCCTTATGATTCTCTCAATAGATATAGAAAAGGCATTTGACAAGATCTAGCACACCTTTATGACAAAAATTCTTAACAAAATTGGCATAGATGGGACACACTGTAAAATTATTAAGACCATATATGATAAACACACAGCCAATATCATATTGAATGGAGAAAAATTGAAACCATTTCCACTTAGAAGTGAAACCGGGCAAGGTTGTCCACTACCTCCACTTCTATTCACCATACTGCTGGAAGTCTTTGCTAGCACAATTAGACAAGAGAAGTGAATTAAGGGCATCCAAATAGGAGCAGAAGAGATCAAACACTCATTCTTTGCTGATGATAAAATATTATATGTAGAAAACCCCAAGTATTCAACCAAGAGACTCCCGGAATTGATAAATGAATTCAGTGAAATCTGAGGATACAAAATCAATACACACAAATCAGAGGCATTCATATATGGCAATAACAGTAAAGCAGAAAATCAAATTTAAAAATGCAGCACCTTTTACAATAGCCTCAAAAGAATTAAATATATAATAATATATATATTTAATGAAAGAGGTGGAGGATATATACAGGGAGAACCATGAAACATTCCGAAAAGAAATTATAGAAGATATAGACAGATGGAAAAATCTACCTTGCTCATGGATTGTCAGAATCAACCTTGTGAAAATGTCCATAATACCCAAAGTGATCTACAGAATTAATGCTATCAAAGTACTATCATCATTCTTTACAGATCTAAAACAAATAATTCTATGCTTTGTATGGAACTAGAGAAGACCTCATATAGCCAAAACAATCTTAAGCAAAAAGAACAAACTGGTAGGTATCAGTCTACCAGACTTCAAGTTTTACCACAAGGCTATTGTAACTAAAATAGCATGGTACTGGCATGAGAACAGAGATTTAGACCTTTGGAACAGGACTGAGAACCCAGAGATGAAACCATCTGCATATGGTATTCTAATCTTTGACAAAGCAGACAAAAATATACACTAGAGAGAAAGAATCTCTTTTCAATAAATAGTGCTGGAAAACTGGATAACTACATGCAGAAGATTGAAACTGGATCCCCACGTCTTACCTCTTACAAAAATCTATTCACAATATATAACATACTTAAACTTAAGGCATTGAACCTTAAGAATCCAGAAGAAAATGTAGAAAAGACTCTTTCATACATCAATCTAGGCAAAGAATTTATGAAGACCCCCAAAGCAATCATATCAGCAACAAAAATAGACAAATGGGACCTGCTCAAATTAAAAAGCTTCTGCACAGCCAAGGAAACTATCATTAGAGCAAATAGACAACCTAGAAAATGAAAGAATGTATTTGTTTTCTATATATCCAATAGAGGGATGATAACAAGAATCTATATAGAACTTAAGCAAGTCAACAAGAAAAAAATCAAATGACCTCATCAATAAATGGGCAGAGGACATGAACCAAAACTTTTCTAAAGCAGACAGAGTAATGGCCAGTAAAAACATTAAAAAATGTTCTACATTTCTAATCATTATGGAAATTCAAGTCAAAACCACAATGAAACCTAACTCCAATGAGAATGGCCTTTATCAAAAAATCTCAAAACAACAAATTCTGGTGAGGAGGTGAAGAGATAGGAACACTCTTATGCTGCTGGTGAGACTGCAAATTAGTTCCACCTCTGTGAAAAAGAATTTGGTGAAACCTCAAAGAGCTAAAAATAGAAATACCATTTGCTCCAGCAATAGCACTAGTAGGCATCTACCCAAAGTAACAAGAGACATTCTATAATAAAGACATCTGCACTCAAATATTTATGCACAATTAACAATTGCAAAGATGTGGAAACAACTCAAGTGCCCATCAATACATGAGTGGATTAATAAAACGTAGTATATGTATACCATGGAGTACTATTCAGCTATAATAAACAACAGTGATATAGCACCTCTTGTATTTTCCTGGATAGAGCTGTAACCCGTTCTGTTCAGTGAAGTATCCCAAGAATGGAAAAATAAGCACCACATGTACTCACCAGCAAATTGATATAGCAATAACATTTATCGGACATCGGGCAGGGGGGAGGGGATGGGTATATACATACATAATGAATGCGATGTGCACCAACTGTGGAATGGACATGCTTGAAGCTTTGACTCAAGGGGAGAGAGGGACATGGGCAATATACAAAACCTTAACATTTGTACCCCCATAAAATGCTGAAAAAAATTCACTGACATGAAAAAAAGATAAAATATAATATAATGTTTAGTTCCTTCAAAAAAAAAAAACAAAGAAAATTGGAAACATTGTGGTGTATTCTCTAAGCAATAAAGGAAATGAAGCATTGATACTTAAAACAAAGTGCTCAAACCTCTCCCTCTCCTCTATGGATAGATTGGTAGATAAATACAGATACAGACTTACAAATACTGATTTTACTTTTATGAAGCCCAAGACAGAAGAAGTCTGAGTTATACCAGTTGTTCTCTAGTTATAGAATTCAAAATCAGGCAGTATGATTGATCAGAGAGAGCTATATAAATAAACTTTCTCCGGTAAGAGAAATATTCCATTTCTTTTTGTTTTTAGTGTGCTTTTATTGTATCAAAATTATATGTCAACAGAAATTTTATATATATATATGTATATCTATCTAATATATATGTGTGTATATATACATATATATATATATATATATATTTGATTTGCATCCATTAGGCTACATTTAAAAAGAAAGAAGAAAGGAAGGAACAAAGGGAGAGAGAAAGGAAGAAATAAATCACCATTTCTACATCAATTACAAAGAAACACAAATAAGACTATACAATATGTATTATTGAAAGGTCTGAAGGAAGAACAGTCAGTGAGCTACCTCTATTTCACAAATTCAGCTATTACTTTCAGGGAGTTAAGAAGTTGTCAAAAAAAAAAAAAAGAGGTATAGACTCATAAGTCACTGAGGTGCCTCTGAAACTAAACTGGATGCTTTGCAGAGACAATGATGGAAGAGTGTCACATTTACTTATTTTCTGTCCTATCAGTCTTGCTGATTAGCTTTCACTGGTGGTATATAACATTAAATCCAGGTGGGAGAGATTCTGAGAAATGTGAATCACAGAAGAACATAGAAGACAGAAAATGATGCTGAGTTGCCAAAAGGCACCGTGGTACAGTATCTAGAAAATAATTTTTTCTTTTATCTATTGATTTCATATAGGAGATTAAAAATTTCAAAGACCACTGAGAACCAAATCAAAGACTCAATACCCTTCATAATAGCATCAGCAACAACAAAAATACCTAGGAATATGTTTAACTAAGGAGGTAATAGACCTCTACAGGGAAGAGCTGCAAAACACTGAGGAAGGAGACGT